AAATTTGGATGCATGAGGAGACATGGAATTCTGTATCATGTTGCAGATAATATAACATGTACACTGTATCATAATGAAATCTATTTGATGGTACAGGTAATATAATATGCATACTATGTCATAATGAAATCGATTTGAATTCCAAAAATATGATTTAAATTTCTATTCCCTTTGTTTAGGTTGTAAAAGTTCACTTGTTATGAGAGGAAATATGTCATAAATGCCAAGGAAATAGATAAGAAGTATATGATAAATAGGAAAAGGTTACAGTCTGTTTTTCAGTATCCACCAATTGTGAGCTTAGAATTTCAGATGAAAACTTTTTAACCTTCTTTTTAGCCCCATCTCATGTTCCATTAAATATATCTTTTCAAGCTATATATTCTCCTTAGAATCCTGAATACCAGTTCTCTCTCTGGAAAGTTGATGTGTTAGGAACTTTTTAAAATCTATTTCTCTCTCTCTAATAATAGTTTAACAGCATTCAGGTAGTGAGAGATGACCATGTTCAACTGAATGCCTAATAGTGACAAAATTTAACTCTTTATTATAGTAGTATTTACAAACAAACAGTTGTAGAGTAATACAAGTCAATATTACTGGGGATATACTATGAACAAAGTCCTTTGCTTTATATATATGTTTTATGTATCATATATTTTGTTATTTTTAAAAACTTTGCTGAAGAGCAATATATATACTTGCATATATAATTTATATATTTTTATATAATAAAAAGGTAAAACAGAGGCTTTCATTGATAGTATGTACCTAACAATACTGATACATCACTGATCTATTATATATATAAATGCTGAAATATATATATTTCTCCACATACCTTGTTATAATTACATTTTCCTTTTTCTCTTCCCTTAAGTTTGTACTTGACTAGTCATGTCTCATGTTTTCTTTTCTTCCTCCTCCCCCACTTTTTTTCTAATGATTTGCCCCAACCCTAATATTTCTTTGCAGAAAACACTTCTTCAGTGACTGTTCTTTCAGTCCGTCTCACTCCGCCTCTGTGAATGCATTTAGTTACAGCTTTCTGTTTACTATGTGTGTGGCTCTCACTCATGAGTCATTGCCCTTCAGAATTGCTTTTGTTTTTAATTCCTCTTTCTTAGAAGTAGCTGAATTTAAACAATCATTTGTCTTTAGCTTTTTGGAAATTGGAATACAAGAAGCTTATACTGTTTGCTGTTCTAACTCATCCAAATAAGATACTGCTAAAAAGGAAACTCTCGTATTTCCCCCATGAGAGATCATTCACACATATATAAATCATGCAAGCACATTTCAAAATGGAAAAATTACTTTTAATTTCTTAATGTTAGTTTATTCAGTAGGGCTCTAAACTGTCAGGGATAATTTTTTGTTCAAGATCATTTTGGTCAAGAAAGTCATCTACTGGATCCCACAGTGTCTGCATAGTAATCAATGAGGGGTAAGGAAAGTAACATTTTGGGACTCCTGAGATCACCTCTCATAATCCTCACCCCATGAGAGGATGTAGGTTGGTAAAGGTCAGAACCAGGATTTGAATCCATATCTGAATGACTCCAAAGCCAGTGCTCTTTGTGTTAGATCATCTAGGAATGGGGAATGTTATAATTATTTTCTTCAATTTCATATTTGTTATTCTTAAAGCTGTTATTTTCTTCTCTAGAAAGCCTGGCATCCAAGGTTTGCAAAGCCAATTCAGGCCTGGCAAGAACCCACGATAAACAGTGAGTTATTTGAAGAGTGTCCTTCTTGTGTTTTCACTGACCAGAAATTATATATAATTTCATCTACCATACCTTCTTTTCACTACAGCAGAGGCAAAAGATGGTGTTTTGAAACCAGGAACTAGCACCTCCTTGGAGGACAATAATTCTGATAATAAAAATGAAGATGTGGTTCCAACCTTTCCCCAACCATCAACCGAAGTTCCAGGCTTTTCTCATCCTGCCTTCCCAGCACCGGAACATCTCACATCTGCAGCAGTTCTTGCTGTTACAGAGGTAAGCTGTTTTCTTTTTTACTTTTTCTTCCTGTGCTTTTTCACATACCGTCCCCCTGATTCTCATGGGGATGAAAAGGATCCTACACAGAAATGGAAGTCCTCAAGATCACAATAGAAAACAGTGTGATAACAAGAGAGGCACATGTGCAGGACTGAGATTTGTAAAGGTTGGTGGCAAGAAACAGTTCTCGAGTGTGCCATTAAGAAAGGAAAGAATCAGAAAGCAACTGAAAAGAAAGCTGGATGAATATGAAGATGGGCAGGAGTACAAAGGGGAAGGATTCATTTAATAAGGATGAGATTAATGTAAAGATAAATGAGTGTCAAAATGAGAGAGATTATTATACAAGCACAGCAGAAATAGTGGGGTTAAGCGAGAGCGGGAGCTCTATAGTACAAATTATGATGGGAATAATCTCAAATTCAAATTATGAGAAGGAAAAGTCAGGTCATGGAAAATGCTCAGACTCTTCTGAGGGACATACAGCTGATTTTATGGACAATGGAAAGAAAATTTGATCCTCACCTTCTTTCTTTTTGGCTATACTTGTCTGTGTTGATTCATTTTCATGTGTCTCTACCTCTCCTAGAATATAGAGCAGATTCTGTCTTGTATATATATTGCCAGCTTCTCCCAGGATAATGCCTATGATCTCATGGATACAGTAAATATATGTTGTCTTCCTGACTGATTGATTGAATGACCAAGTGTAGGAATGTGATGTTTTCTGAAGTTGGGTGTTTGTTACATTTTGTTTTGTTTTATAGGAAGAAGCAGCAAAGCCAAAAATTGGGGGAAAAGAGAATGGCGCTCAGACTATTAACAGTGTTCTCAAGGAGCAAGCAGATCATAAAAAATTGGTTTCTATTGATGGAGCACACAAAAATGACAAAGGTGGGTAGTTAGCGTACATCTGTGGATTTTCTTCTCAGCTTAAAAGCTAGTATGGTTGGAGGAGGGAGAGTATAGCTCAGTGGTAGAGTGCATGCTTAGCATGCACGAGGTCCTGGGTTCAATTCCTGGTACCTCCATTAAAAAAAAAATAAGTAAAAATCTAAAGTGTGTAGATCCAAAGATGATAATCATTAGTTTTTAAATGTTTTTCTTTTGCCACCTTACTTCATAAATATCCCAACTATGACCAAGTTTTCTTCCAGAAAATGCTTCAACCCTCTGAAATTCTTTTCTCCCACTTTATTTTATTGACGTAGTCATGAATGGAGATAGACTTATATATGTACTTAAACTTCCCAGTGGTACGTA